TTCTCTAGCCTGTAGTGGGGTTCTCTATAGCGAGTACAACCCATCTAGGGTTTGCTATATGTATCCTCATTGCTGCTAGTGAACTCTTCTTCTTTTGCCTAAACTTCTCTTGCCTAGCTAGGACTTACCTAGCTATGGCTCCTAACTCTACCTACTATTTTCACAGGTAGGGCCGGCGCTCGACGGGCGGGTAGGGCCGGCGCTTTGACGGGCGGCGGCAGGGTAGGCGCGCGACGGGCGCTTAGGGCAGGGCCGCGACGGGCGGCTGCAGCAAAGGCAGGCGCTCGATGGCGCGGGTAGGGCAGGCGCTCGACGGCGCACAGCAGGGCAGGCGCAAGGGCGCAGGTGAGGCAGGCGCGAGGTGCGCGACAGGGCAGGCAAGCGCGGCAGCGCGCTTCGGGCAGGGCAGGAAAAAAATATTCGTGGTGGGCCCTTAAAAAAAAAAAACGTTCCCACTAGGGAACCTGCTCTGAAACCATGTGAAAGATAGAACGAGGAATGATTGAATTAGCAAGCAGGTGGGTACAAGTAGGAAAACCAAAAAGTGTTGTACCCCATATTGACTACCCCACTACAGCCTACACAGACTATGTCATATAAGTTTGACAAAGCGTGCATCTATCTCCGGTAAACACCGACTAAGTGTCAGTTGCATCTTCCGTGCGGTTGCGGTATTAACTAAGCTGTGACTTGCTCCTCCGTCTATAAAAATCTTCACTGCTGCTCCCTGTATTTTCCCATGAATCAGTACTGGGCAATCCGTCGCTGTACCCTCCTTATTCATCCGAGCCCGATCGATAGCGTGAATCGGTACTATGACTCGGTGAGGGTCGGTGAGGTTGGGCGAGCAGGTTGTCTCGTCAGTAGTCGGCCCGTTTTCTACTGACTGCTGGCGTTTCCCTGCCTCTGAGACTCCCTTCCCTGCTCTGCTCCGCGACGTCTCTTCTCCTCTGGGCATTCGCTCTTGCGATGGCCCGGCCTATTGCAAGCAAAGCAGCGCCCCTTAAATGGCGCAGCAGCTGCATTCTCCGCAACGGCGTGTACGGTGGCGTGCTCGGTCGGTCCCCGAGGGCGATGTCCGTAGTAGGACCCCGGTCTCGGACGGCGCAAAATGTCAATTTTCTCGGCGAGCGCGAGGATCTCGTTGAAATTCGAGAGCCCGCGTAGCATGATTTCGTGCGAGGTGTCCGGCTTCAGCCCTCCGACGTAACGGTCCACCCGCTCCGCTTCGTGCATGTAGCCGACTTGCTCGCATAATGCGAGAAAACCGCTGGTGTAGTCTTGAACCGACCCAAGTTGTCGCCAAGTACGCAGTTTCTGACGCGCCGAAATAGAAGCCGCAATCGGCTCGAAGCGCGCTCGAAGCCCTGCGCACCACGCATCCCACGTGCTGTACTGTGCGGTTTCGCAGAACGAACTCCAGGTGACGGCTGGACCCGTGGGCTCTTCCTCTTGCGACGGCGGCTCGTAGGCGCGTGGCGACGTCACGATGACTCGCCACCAGTCCATGGCGGGGCCCCTTAGCAGCGAAACAGCGTATCGAATCTTCGCTGCGTCCGACTCGACGTAATTCGCGTGAAGACCCACGATTGAACCGTCGGACCTCCTCGTTGGCTCAAGTCGAAGCAAGGCGGGCGCTGCGGTTTGAGCGGCATCGGCGCGACAATGTCGTTGTTGCCGATTGTTGCCGCAAATTCAACGTGACGACGGGCTTCGCGAGGCCCGCTCGTGCTTGGTACAGCCCTGTTCCTTCCCATGCCAGACATTGACTGGGCGACGCCATCACTGGCTGCGCCTGAGCGCTTGTCACACGCTGTCGTGATGTGACCGTGTGCCGGACGAGATGACAATCGGCTCATCCGATTGCGCAGGTGCATTTGCAGGTGCTTGTGATGGTGCTGGCGCATTCACTGTTGATTGTTGGCGGGCGGAGTCACGTTCCGCCGTGAGTGTTGCAATTTCGAGCGCCGATTCTTCGAGTTGGCGCACGAGACGGTCGAGCTGCTCCTGCGTCAGTGTCGCGAGATTAATTTCAGCCATGGCGGGGGTGTCGGGCAAGCTCAGCGAGAGCCTCTGTCGTGGCCGTGCGTGCTTACGAGAGAGCACTTCGAGCGGCGGTGCTTGTTCGCTGAGAGACGTCTACCCCCCCCCCAAAAATTGAGATAGTGGGGAAGCGAAGGTGTGGGTGCGGTCCGAGAGGAGATCGTAGGCTCTGATTACCAAGTGTTACGAGTGCAATTGAGCAAGCGAGAATTGCACTATCGAAGCAAAACAATACAATGAGCGAAGGTATGCGCGAAGAATATATAGCGAACTAGAGTGGTAGCGGTAACGCGAGATAATGGGGTGCGCTACGGGCCTAACGCCGAGGCTGGGAAATGTCGAGGCAGAGGTCCGGAGCGCGGGTTACCAACCGAACCGTGAGGTTGGGTCGCATCGTGAATGGTGGCGGGAGTCGTAGCCGAAGCGAGTGTCGCGAGCGGGTAACGTTTCACTGTTGGGTGCCGATGGCGGGAATGGTCTTGTACGCGGTAAGCAGGGGCGCGAAGTAAGGAAGAGAAATTTTCCTTACAACCTCCAACTGCCTGCCTTTCCGAAGCCGTTTTGGCCGCGGTTTTAAACTAACTGAGTTGTTTGCGTAACAAATAACTAATAACAACATTCAACAGTTTGTTATCACATAGTGCCAAAAGCAAGCAGTTGCCATATTGATGCCATCACGAACGCACGTCCCCCCACTGGCGCAATTTCTTGCCAACCACCACGTCAATCAGACCACTACTCTACCGTCCGTGGCTGTTCGCCTTGGCTTCACGAAACGTTTCGACGGCTCGCGATCGTCGTTGTCCGTCCAGTTTTCCTTCCATCGTCTGCTTGCAGAAATATCGTCTTGCAGCAATGTTTCAAACGCGGCAATGGAAACACTGTGACCTACTAGGCCATGGAGCAACAAATCAAAACAACCGAGATAGCCAATCAAATTACTGTACTATATTCCTCTTGCTTCAGCCATCCCCAGTTCCCAAGGATCGAACGGAACATGCGCAGGCAGCAAGCAAAAAGAGATGAATATCTGTTTCTTTTATGTTTTTGTTTTTCCCAGACTTCCGCGACTTCCACGTTGGGCGGCATCACTTGCAGTTCCCCTGCCTCTGTGTTATTCCTTTCGTTTCCTTTCGGCTTTGTTCTGCAGGCGCATCAGCCCGCATCAATGTGCATTGCAACATTTTCGGACGGTTCTAACATCCTTCCGTGATAACCTACCGACAGGCTATCAAGGCTCGTGATAAGCGCATGGCTGCCGAAGCAAACCAAGCCCGATTGCCTGCAGAACGGCCATTTTGGCAACCAGCATTTAACATGTCGCCGCGTTCTTAGTAATTTCAAGTCCTAGCAATCTGGCGCATCACTGATGCGCGCATCATCCAACTCCGAGAAGTCGGATGATGCGCGCATCAACTCAAATGTGGCAAATGAACAACGCCCTAAACCCTGAACAGGCATGTGGCGAAGGTGTCCGGTATGTGCTGTTTGACTTCGACGAATCCCTCTGCACGCTGGAATCTGGGACAATTGGAGATCGAGATCTGAAATGTCCAATTTTCGAGATCTTCAATTTCAGATCTACCTAGCCTCAATGTCGAATGTCCGAACCTCAATTTCTCGATTTCCAATTACTCATTTCCGAACCTCAATATCTCAATGTCCGGATCAGGCCGAGCCTCAGACGCATCAGAGCTGATGCGCCTGCAGAACGCAGCCTTCGTTTGCCTTCCCTTCCCTCTGCCTCCCTCCCGTCCACCTCCCCCCAACCCCCAGCTTTGCAATTTCCAAGTTTCGGTTTCGTGCCTATTCGTTTCTTCACCAGCAATTCTAGGGTTCCGTTGATTGAGGCATAGTTACTTGACCGCAACTTAATTACGCCAGATAAGGCGGAAGGTTCACAGGCGGCAGTGTAACTTATTATCTAGCGTCAAAGCTCGTACTTTCTCTGTTCGCGCGCAACCCCTTGTGCGACTCGTCGTTAGTTCTTGCAATAAAAGCATAAAGACCTGGTTTTTGTGAACACGTACCGCTTTTCACGTGTATAGTTTATTCCGTCATTTTTTTTTTGTCGCGAGCGAGGAGCGCAACAATGTATTTTGGACATATCACGAGTCTGACGGTTAACGGAGCGCCATGGTTTGGATGGAGCTTTCGCCTGGCTTGGACTTTCCCGTTTTAAGGGAGTCGACTTAGGTATGAGCTTATGCGAATAACTTCTGCATTGCCAGCTTGCGCGAGAATAACGCCGTAATTACTGTCTGAGTTCGGAATTGTGGGCATGCTGTTTGGAGTGAGTGTTTGTCTCGTGTCCTGGTTGGGACTCAAACAGGTACTCTCTAGGAACGTGATAACGCATGGCCCTTTTCGTACCAGCCGGGGTCTCACCATGTTCCCGTCTTGAAGCCTCCTTGCTGTATTCGGTCACAACCCATTGCACCCCGTTGCACCGCATCTTACCACCTCAAGAACCCGTTCAGCGCTTTTTACCACCCTGTTCGCACCTTCCTGATTCTGACCGCCTCATTCGCGTGTAACCGCTTTCGTTCTGTCTGGACACCAGTATTCTTAGCGCTTTCTGTTCTTCACAAGCGCTAATGCCGTTAGGATATCAGCAGTTTTTGTGTTCTTACTTCCTTCCCCCCTCCCTCCCCCTCCCCCTTCACCCCTTACCCCCCACTCCCTTCCGCTTTCCCACCCTCTCTCACAGCTTCTGTTCACATCTTTGACACCTTCCTATCTTGCTCACCTTACGTTAAACGAGACGAGTTTTGAGGCGCCTCAAAACTCAGCTTCCGTCCACCTTACGTTGTTCCTTTACCTTCATAAACCAACCTTCCCCGCTCCCCTCCTCCCCTCTTCCTCCCTCCCCTCTCCCAACCACCCCCCCGTTTCCTTCCCCCGCGCTCCCTTTCCCCGCGCATGCGCTCCCCAGTGCGTCTTCCGCCTACCCCAGCATGAGCCGCCATTATACCGCCACCCGCACCTCGAGCGGGGGAGCCGTGCGCGAGCGCGCTTCTCCGCCACTGCGCCCTTCCGCCTCCCCCCCTTCCGCGCACGCGCTAGACTTCAAGCTCCCGCCCGCAGCAGGGGAGAATGGCGCAGTGTGGGACGGCGGAAGCAGTGGCGGAGAGGCAAGAAGCGCGCCGAGCAGGAGAGGGGTTCTGTCAGGCCTGGGCGAGCCCCCCCCTCCGCCCGTAGGCTCGTTCCCCTCCCCCTCCCGCGCCTCCCCCTCCTCCGCCCGCCATCCCCGCTCCACTAACCTGCACCCCCCCAAAGGCGCCAGCTCCGCCAGTCAGCGCATGCCCCGTTCCGCCTCCTCCGCCCCTTCCCCCACCCGCCCCGCTTCCGCCGCGGGGGACGGCGGAAGCGGAAGGGTGCGGTCCCCTAGATCTTCCTTGGGAGAAGAGGAGGAGTTAGCGGTTCTTATGGCTGCCGACTCTCCCTCCGCCGCTTCTGACGCGTCTCTCCCGTTGTCTGCTGCGCGGACGCATAGTGCGGGAGTAATGGCGGCAGCGGGGAGAGCGCCCGGGGCTTATTTGCGTAGTAGCTCGTTCGCGCTGATTGCGGGAGGCGCCGAGAGAGTCGCGGCGGAGAGAATAGCGGAGAGAAGAGCAGCAGCAGCAGCAGCAGCAGCAGCCGCAGCAGCCGCCGCAGAATCAAGCTATGGTGGTGATGGTGTTGCTGGTAAGGGTGGTGGGACAGGGGGTATACATGCTACGTTTTCGCGCTGTAGAAGCAGAGGGGGAGGGAGTAGTGCGGGGGGAGGGGACGCATATAATGAAGAGAGCGAAGGGGGTGGGAGTGACTTCGGAGTTGGAGGGAGGAGAGGAAATCAACAGCAGCAGCAGCAGCTGGGGCTGGCGAGTATAGGCAGAAGCAGCAGCGCCGGGAGGAGCAATTACATTTCTAGATTGTCTCGTGGAGAGGGAGAAGGAGGAGGGGAAGGAGGAGGGGGATCAGACGACCAGTTACATCGACCTTCCAGAACCTTCCGGCCCCACTCCCTTCTCTCGCACTCAGATCTCTCAGACGCGTCTCTGGCTCACTCCGACTCCAACCTCTCCCGCTCCGCGCCTCGCACAGCCTCAGGCTCCGTCCCCGTTATAAGGTCCGGTAGCTTCTCCCGCCGCCCCCCCTCTGGTGCGTCTAACTCTTCAGCAGGCTCGTATGGGTCTTTTGGGTCGGCGGGAGAGGGAGGGGGCGAGGAGAGGAGGCAAGGGAGGAGGTCGTTTGAGGAGGGAGGGGGGAGAGGAGGAGTGGGCGGGGTGGGGGGGATGGTAGGGGGAGGACGGGCGGAGGAAGTGAGGGTGGTGGCGGGAGCAGCAGCAGGAGCGGAGGGGCGGAGTAGTGAAAGCAGGGGCGCGTTTAGGAGAGGAGAGCCGTTGGATCAAGCTGTGCCGGATGTTGCCTCGAGCAGGAACGGGCACGGGCATGGGCGCGGGAGAGGGAGAGGGGGAGGGAATGGGCGGGGAGGGAGAGATGGAATGAATTATCTGCACGATCAGCGTTCGTTGCTATATGGTCGAGAAGGGGACGGTGAGGAGGAAGGGGAAGAAGAGGAAGGGGACGAAGAGGAAGGGGAAGAAAGCGAGGAAGAGGAAGAAGAGGAAGAGGAGGCAGAGGAAGAGGAGGAAGAGGAGGAGGGGAGGAGGAAGAGCCGAGATGAGGGAAACGGTGGTGATTCCTTTCCCAGACACAGCAGCACGGGGAGTAGAAACCTGCCCATCCCCACTCCTCCAACACGCCCCTCCCCTCCGCCCCACGCAAACCCCCGAGCTCCTCCGAACCGACCTCTCACCCCGGAACCCCCCCCCAGACGCGCCATAAGACCTGATGCTCCTGATTCCGAATCGTTTTCCCCTGACTCGGGAGCGTATGGCAGGGGCGAGAGATGGGCGGTAGGGCGAGTGGGTGGGGAGAGCAAGAGAGGGAGCTGGAGGCTTGCTGCTTTGAGAAGACCGGCTGTAGGGGGTAATAGTGGCGGGGGTAGGGAGACGGATAGGGAGAGCGCTGGGAGTGTGCACAGCGATCGGGAGAGGGAGGAGGAGAGCTGGGAGGAGGGGGGGAAGAGGAGGGGTTATGGAGGAGAGGAGAAAGGGGTGGATGGGGTTGTGAGTGACTGGAAGCGCGACAGAGGGAGTCAGTCTATGAGAGAGAGTGGGGTTGTGGTGGGGGTGGGAGTGGGGATGGGAGTGGGGATGGGCATGGGGAAGGATACGGGGGCAGGGCATGGAAAGTTTGGCGGTCGATCCGTCTCAGATGGAGATCAACGGACAGGGTTAGAGAGAGGGCAAGGGAGCAGGTTGAGTAGAGGAGGGAGTGGGGCTGGAGAGAGAGAAGGTAGTGGGTTATCACACGCTCGGTCTCCTGCCGCTGCTGGTGCTTCGACCGATCTTCATTCTAATGATGCTGCTGCTGCTGGTCATGTGATCAGACGAACAGGGTCCGGGGCAAGAAGCGTGCTCACTGCCGCTGCCGCTGCGGCTGCGGCTGCGGCTGCTGTTCCTGAGGCAGTGAAAACTAGTCTGGCGCAGGGAGGGTTAGGAGGGAGAGAGCGGCTAGGGTCAAGAGGGAAGGAAATGCTAGGCTCAGGGCGGATCGAACGGTTAGGTTCAGGGGGAAAGGATATGTTAGGGTCAGGGCGGGTTAGGATTGGTCCCGGTGATGTTCTGGTGATTGAGGAAAACGAGGGTAAGAGTGAGAAGCGAGAGCGGCGGGAGAGGGAGAAGCGGGATGGGGGAGAGGAGAGAGGGACGGGGGAGAGGCGAGAGAAGAAGGATGCACACGGCGGGGAGAAGGGAGAGAGGGGAGAGAGGAGAGAGAAAGGGAGGGGAGATGGGGTTGGGTGGAAAGAGGATGGGGGAGGGGAAGGGGGAAAGGCAGGGAGGGATGGTGGTGGGGAGGAGAGGAGGGTGCATAGGACGCTTACAAGATATGAGGGGCATGAGAGGAATTTGGCGTCATGTGGGCGAACGTTCACCAAGTATGGAGGGGGGAAAGAGGAGAGAGAGGGGATGGGTGCAGCGGATGGGGTAGATAGAAGGGCAAGAAGGACTCTTACGACGTATGGGGGAGGTTTGGTGAAGAGTGGGAGTGAGAAGGAGACGGCGCGGAGTGGGAGTGAGAAGGAGAGAGCGAGGAGTGGGAGTGAGAAAGAGAGAAGTAAGGATGGAGGTAGTGGGAAAGAGAGGAAGGGTGGGAGGGAGGGAAGGAGTGAGATGGAGGGAGGGAGTGGGAAGGAGCGAGGGAGCGGGAACGGGAAGGAAAGGAGTGGCTCTTTAGGGAGGCGCAGCAGCGGGAAGGATGAGAGATTGGTGTCAGAAGGATCGGAGATTGGAGAGACGAGTGTTGGGAAGGATGGAATCTCTCAAAGATTGTCTTTAGGGAGTCGCAGCAGTGGGAAAGATGGGATAGTGGTGGCAGAAGCAGCGGAGATTGGAGAGGGAGAGAGGGGGAGGACGAAGGAGAGGGAGAAGGACAGGCAGAAGGAGAGAGAGGGTGGGAGGGAGAGCAAGGAGCGGGAGCGGGAGAGGAGAAAAGAGAAAGAAGGGAGAGGTGAGCGGTCAGGAGAAAAGAGAGTGAGCCGGCAATCAAGCACAACTAGTGGGGCTGAGGTTAGCGATGGGGTGATGAGAGATAAGGAGAAGAGTGGAGAGAGGGAGAAGCGGGAGAGGGACAAGGAGCGGGAAAAGGATAGGGAGAGGGAGAAACGGAAAGAGAAGGACAGGGAGAGACGAAAAGAGAGGGAGAAGGAGAAGGAGAAGGATAGGGAACGGGATAAAGAACTACCAAGAGAGGGATCGAGGGGATCCAGAGAAGGGAAGAGGGAGGGGAAAGGGGTGGGGGAAGGGGAAGGGTCGAAGCGTAGAAGTATGGAGAAACACAAGAGCGCGGATCCAGAGAGAGAGGAGAGGAAGCGAGAGAGGAATGGGCTGGGTCGAGTTGATGAGGGGTGTGAAGCAGGGCTAGACCACACGTGGCCTAGGAAAGGGAGGAGTGGGGAAGGAGAGAGAGTGGTTGACGAGGGTGGTAAAGTGGCGGATGGGGGGATATGGGGCTTGAGTATTGCAGAAGAAATGGCGGCAGCTGTGAAGCTGGTTGCTCGGGGAGAAGGGGAGGGGTTGGAGGGGGTGGAAGGGAGGGAGGGAGAGGAAAGGGGGAGTGAAGAGGGAGGTAGGGAGGAGAGAGAGGGACATAAGAGGAGAGAGAGGAGTAAGGAGAAGGATAGAGATAAGGAGGAGAAGGAAAAGGAGGAGGAGAAAGAGAAGGAGAAAGAGAAGGAAGGTAGAGACAAGGACCGGCACAGGCACAAGCACAGGCACAGGGAAAAGGGTAAGGATGGAGAGAGAGAAGAGGAGAAGGGCAAAGGGAAGGATAGTGTGAAGGATGGAGAGGAGGAGCATAGGAAGAGGCATGGGGACCGAGAAAGAGAGAGTGGGAAAGACAGGGAGAAGGAGAAGGAGAGGGAGAGGGAGAGGGAGAAGGAGAAGGAGAGTGAGAGGGATGGGGAGGGGGGGAAGGATGAGAAGCAACGGAGTAAGGAGAAGGAGAGAGAGCGAAGGAAGGAAGGTGAGAGGAGCAGGCACAGGGACAAGGAGAAGGGAAGGGAGAGGGAGGAGAGGCACCAGAGTCACAAGGACAGAGAGAGGGGGAGTGGGAGAGGGAGTCAGAGGGGGAGTGGAAGAGGAGAAGAGGGTAGGAGGGGGGAGGAGGGTTCGGCAGGTGGAGGATCAGGTGAGATTTCAGGTGAATTTTCAGGTGTGCAGATTGAGAGAGAGGAAAGCATTGCGAACAGTGCTGCTGGGCCGGCAACGCCTGGTAAGGATAAGCAGGAGCGAGAGGAAAGGAAGGAGAAAGAGGGGTCTAGGCATGCAGATGGGCAAAGAGAGAGGGATAAGGAGCGGGAGAAAGGAGACAGGTCGAGCCGGCATAGGCATAGAGATAAGGACAACGACAAGGATAGGGATAGGGATAGGGATAAGGATAGGGATAAGGAGAAGGATAGGAAACGAGAGAAGGATGGAGACAGAGAGAAGGAAAGGGGGCGGGAGGAGAGGGAAAAGGAGAAGGGTCGGAGCAGTGGGAAAGAGAGGATAAGGGATACGAGTGAGGATGTTGGGGATGGTGGTGATGGGGACAGAAGCAGGGAAGAGAAGGATGTAGATAAGCAGGTGAAGGAGCAAGAGAGAGGAAGCGAAAGAGACAAGGAGAGGGAGAGGAGGAAGGAGAGAACGAGGGAGAAGGAGAAGGAGAAGGAGGAGGAGGAGGAGGAGAAGGAGAAGGAGAAGGAAGGGAGGGGTGTTCTGGAGAGAGATCAGAGCAATAGTAGCTCCAGAGGCAGACACAGGGACAAAGGCAAAGAGAACGAGAAGAGCAAGGAGCGGGAGAAAGACAAGGAGAGGAAGAAGGAGAAGGAAAGGGAGAGGGGTGGAGAGAAGGAGAAGGAGAAGGAGAAAAGCAAGGAAAAGGGGTCGAAGGTGAGGGAGAGGCAGGGCAGTGGGAGGAGCGTTGACAGTGGCATGAGCAGAAGTGAGTCTGGAGAGCATGCGAAGGTTTCTCGGTCTTCCAGCCGCAGCAAGAGTGGTGGTAAGGAGAGGGAGTCACGGCAGAGCAGTCTGGGAAGGGAGGAGAGAAGGGCTGTGAAGGAAGGGTTGGAATTGCAGGAGCAGAAGCAGCAGGGGCAGCAGGAACGGGAGCAGCAGGAGCAGGAGCAGCAGGAACGGCAGCAGCGGGAGCAGCAGCAGCTGCAGCAGCAGCAACAGGAGGAGCAAGAGCAGCAGCAGTTGGGCCAGCAGGTAGGTGTAAGTACAGTTGCTGCAGCTGGTGCATCGTTGGCGGCAGAAGCACTACCCGTGCTCGCTCGGGCTTCAAGCCGGGGGATCCAGGAGGGTACACGGGACACAGCCACAGCATCAGCAGCAGCAGATGCAGCCGCAGCAGTAGCAGGAGAAGCAGATGCAGCAGTCGCAGCAGGACCAGCAGCAGCAGATGCAGTGGCAGCCACATCATCACGACCAGTTTCACCTGCGTCAGCAGCTGCAGCAGCAGCAGCAGCAGCAGCAGCAGCAGCAGGAGGAGGAGGAGGAGGAGGAGGAGGAGGAGGAGGAGGAGGAGGAGGAGGAGGAGGAGGAGGAGGAGGAGGAGGAGGAGGAGGAGGAGGAGGAGGAGGAGGAGGAGGAGGAGGAGGAGGAGGAGGAGGAACAGGAGTAGGATCAGGAGGAGGAGGAGTAGCGCCTCTGGAGAGACCTAAGAGTCCAGGTCCCCGGGTGAGTCTGGAGCGCAGGGAGAGGAGGCGAGAGCGAAGCCGCTCTTGGATAGACGAGCTCCTGCCTGATTCCGTTACTTTTGAGGAAACTGGCTTGGCCGGGCCGGATGGGTTAGGTTCGGAAGGCGGCGTGGGACAGGGAGGGGTAGGGGCAGGTGGGGTGGACCCGTGTGGCTTGGACTTGCTTGCTTCGGCTGCTGCTGCAGGGTCGGAGTTTGCGTTTCTGGTGGAGGGAAGCGGTGCGGGTGGTGGGTGTGTAGGGAGCGGTGCTGGGAGCGATGGGGGTGGTGTGAGAGAGGGTGGCGATGGGGAAGCAGGGGCAAATGCAGCGGGAGGATTAGGAGGAGCAGGGGCAGCAGCGGAATCGAAAAAGGAGGTGCTGGATGTGAGGCAGCTTTCAAGGAAAATATCTGGGGGGCTTGGAGGGCTGCTGGCAAGAGGGGCATCTGGGGAAGCGAGTGGCAGGAGCAGGCACGTGCGGCAAGGCAGCAACGGGCTGCTCTCACCACCCTCGTTTGCTCTTTCTGATGCCACCGCTGGCTCTTCTGCTGCCTCCGCTGCTGCTGCCTCTCCTGCTTTGTCTGCTGCATCTGCTGCGTCCCTGCCTCCCTCGCACCCTGGTTTGATTTCCTCCGCGCAGTTGCTCCCTCCTCCCCTGCCGCGTCCGTCCTCCTCAGCTAGTCACCGTCGCCTGGGGTCGATAGGAGAGAGGGACGGAGAGGGAGAGGACGGAGGTGAGGGAAGGGATGAAGAGAGCAGGGAGGGAGGGCTGGGAAGGGCACGAGAGGGTATGGATAGTAGCATCAGGCTTCCCCGCAGCAGCAGTCGTGGCGGCAGTGGCGGTGGCAGCAGCGGCAGCAATGGTGGTTTGGGTATGCGCAGAAATGCTGTTGCTGTTGGGGCTGATGTTGGCGGTGCGACGGGGTTGCTGGGGCCTCGCTGGTTTGGCGTTGGCAGCAGCAGTAGTAGCAGCAGCAGTGGCGGCAGCAGCAGCAGCAGCACTGTTAACGGCATCAGCAGCAACAGTGGCAGCAGCGGCAGCGGCAGCAACAGCGGCAGTGGCAGCGGCAGCGGCAGCGGCAGCGGCAGCGGTGCTGGTGGTGTTGCTGCTGTGTCGCCAACTACCCAACTATCAAACGAAACTATCGCGCAAACCTCCCATCTTGCAAACCCATTGAAAGGAAGCAAAAATCAAAATTTGCCCCCTACAGTCACTACTGGCTGCTCTACCCCAGCTGATTCTTCTGCCCCTCCTGCTGCTGCTGCTCCACCTCTCAGTACCACTCTCAGCCCGACTGCACCCGACCGTACCCTCCATCCATCCCCCCCACCTGTCCGTTCCTCCTCGCCCTGCTTCCCGTCCTCCCGCTCCCTCTCCTCTCGCGCTGTGCATCCCCATCCCCATCCTCATCCCCATCCCAACCCGCATCCACATCCCCATCCCCGGTCCGGTTACTCTCACCCCCATCCTCCTGTTTCTCACATGCGGGCGTCGTCTGTAGGGTATGCGCCTGAATCGGGGTATGCTCCCGAGGTGTCCCCTTGGGCTGGTGAGTATGGGAGGAGGAGTCAACGGGAGCAGAGTGGCGGGGAGATTTGTGGCGGGAGGTATGGAGGCCGAGAGAGGTTTGCGAGTGAGAGATTTGCAGAGGGATTTGCAGAGGAGGGATTTGCAGAGGAGAGTGGAGAGCGAGGGTATGTGAGGGGGAGGGGGTATAAGGAAGCGGGTGGGTTGAGACGAGGGGATGGGGAGAGATTCAGGGAGAGAGGGGGAAGGGGGGCATGGGAAGGACGTGGGAATGGGTGGGATGGGAGTGCAGATGAGTGGGCTGATGAGAGAGAGATTAGGGGAGATGGAGCGAGAGGAGGCTTGAGGGGGGGTCGGTTGGACGAGCACGGGAGGAGGAATATGGGTGTGAGGGGGTTCGGGGGGAGGGGGCGGATAGGGGGGAGCGAGAGATGGGAGGGCGAGGGAGAGAGGAGAGTGGGAATGGGAATGGGGAAGAGGGGAGGAGGGAGGGGGGATGGAGGGAAGGGGGCGTGGGGTGGTGATGATGAGTCGGGATTTGAACTGGAGAGACGTGATGGGCTTAGAGGTTTGTCCTTGAATCGATATGCAGTAGCAGAGGCCGAATGGGCGCATGAGGTAAGTGGGGATGAGGGAGAGGAGGGAGAGGAGGAGGAAGAGGAGGAGGGGGAGGTGATGGAGGAGGGGGAGGAGTATGTTGGTGTGGATGGGTACGGGGTAGGAGAGGGGGAGGTGATGGGGAGATATGGGACAGAGAGCCAGGTTTTCACTGTTTGTCGTGGTGATGAGGCTGATGATGAGGGTGATGTGAGTGGGGAGATCAGTGGTGATGTTAGTGGTGAGTTGGGGGTGTTAGAGGAGGGAGAGGATGGAGTAGCGGAGGGAAGAGGGGGATCGGTGAGGTTCCGGGAAGGAGAGGAGGAATTTGGAACAGAGGAGTTTGGAGAGGCGAGTGAGTTTGGGTCTTCACTGGATGAAGAATTAGAAGAGGAGATTGAAGAGGAGTTGGAGGAATTGAGGAGGCGGAGGGATGAAGCCCAGAGGATACTGGAAGAGGGGGAAGAGGGTGGAGTGATTGGGCGAGGGGCGGAGGTGGAGAGGGAGGAGAGAGGGGCGGGTGTGAAGGGAGGGGTAGGGGAGGAGTGCAGAGGGGAAGGTGGGGAGGGTGAGGAGGAGGAGGAAGGGGAAGAGGAGGACGAGGAGGAGGAGGAGGAGGAGGAAGAGAGCGATTCTCTTCCCGATGAAATGATGTTTGTTCGTTCCCTCTCCACACTCCGCCGCCCGGAGATCGGGCAGACGTGCAGCTCTGTACGAGCCAGCAGGTATGCTTATAGGGAATTTGGCGTGATTGCGAAAGCTCGGGCAGAGGCGCAGGAGGGAAGGAGCCATTGGTCGTGGCTGTTTGCTAGGTATATGGATGAAGTAGTGCGGTTGTCAGTGGGTAGCAGTGCAGAGAAGGCTGAGGTGAGGAGGAGGAGAGAGAAGATGCTCCGGAGGAGGCTGGCGGGAGGAGGGAGCGAGGGGTGGGAGGGGAGTGAGGAGGATGGGGAGGAGGGGGATGAAGAGGGGGATGATCCAAGGGCTCTGATGTTCGGAGGAGTGGGCGGGAACAGCAGGAGAGGCGGAGCAGGAGGAGGAGAGGGTGGGAAGGGAGGGGGAGATGGAACAGGAGGAGCGGGAACAGGAACTTTAGAGGAGATTAGCTCTCTAGACGTGTCTGACTGGCTGGATAGCGCTGTACCAGTGGCTAGAATGGCTCACAGGAAATCAGCCCGAGACTGGTCGGTTGCTGCCGCGTTACGGGAGTTTGAAGGAGTGAAGCGGAAGTTCCATAGCACAGCTTCTGAAGCGGAGAAGCTAGCCAGGGGGCAGGCGGAGAGGGTTCTTCCTACGGGCCTGGCTGTGTGGCTGAGGTACTGGCAGCAGTGGGGAGAGGATCGACCCGATTGGGCTGCGGAGATTGAAGGGATGAGAGTGGAGGAGGAGAGGTTGGGGATAGAGGAGGCTGTGGAGGAGGGGGATGAGGAGGAAGAGGAGGATGAGGAGGAGGAGGATGCGGAGGAGGAGGAACAGGGAGATGGAGAGTTTGGGTTGAGGAGGGCGGGTGTGAGGCGGGGGGGAGGAGGAGGGGGGGATGGATCGAGCAGGAGTTTGAGACGGCACGGCACACCTCCTCGCCCCCGGGTTTCTGTTTCCAGCCCTGGTGCTTCTTCTGCTGCTAGTTTCGCGGACCTTTCCCCGACTGCGGCTGCCGTGGCTGCAGCAGCAGCAGCAGCGCAGGCAGCAGCAGCAGCAGGGTCACCGGGGAGTGGCATGGTTGTAGGAGGAGCAAGGGGAGGAGGAAGAGGGGCAGGTAGTGGAAGAGGGTTTGCATCCCCTTCAGCAGCAGCAGCATCTCTCCCGTCTCCCAAGTATCCCGGATCGAGGTGGGGTCCCCAAGGGTCGCTGCAGCTAAGGCTAGCCACAGAGGCACTAGCAGGAGGGCATTTGCAAGCGGCTACGTGCCATCAAGACGAAGTGCTTCTGTTTGTGGGCCTGGCCGCTTCTATTGCATCCTGGCAACCTTCCACTGCTGCTATGTGTCTTCTTCACCTGTTAGATAGGCTGGCGTTTCTGGAATCTGCTTCTGCTGCTGCGGCTGCTGCAGCGTCGGCTGCGGCTTCAGCCGCGGAAGCAGCAGCAGCGAGGGTGGCGGCGGGGGTTCCGAAGAGTGTTTCTGCTGATGCTGCAGGTTTGGCAGCCAGGCCTGCTACGGCGGGTCCGAACGTGGTGCGATCAGCTTCGGCAACGTCGCTTGCTGCTGCGGCTGCAGGTATGGTCGCTGCTGCTGCAGCAGGTGTGGCAGCAGCAGCAGCGGCAGCAGGAGGCTCATCCCCTCCTCCTGCCAGTCGACCCGGCACTCCCCTGCTCCAAGCCGCTCCTGCTTTCGCACCTCCATCGCCCATTGCTCTCGCCCCCGCCCCCGCCCCTGCTCCCCCCCCTGCTCCTGCTCCTGCTCCTGAAACCCCCACGTCGTTTTTCAGCTTTAGACGGCTCGCTCCTGGGTTTGGAAAGGCCTCCAACACATCAGGAGCGGGCGCAGCAGCAGCAGGAGCAGCAGGGGCAGCATCAGTAGGGGCAGGCAGCAGCAGCATGAGCAGTCCTGGAGCCAGCACCCCTACCTCCCCCTCACACTCCTCCTCGGTTTGGAATCCCTGGCGTGATGCTACTTCCTGGCGAGATACCTCTTCTGCTTCCTCCTCTTTCTCCTCCTCCCCCTCCATCCCTCGCCCCTCCACTGCTGCTGCTGGTCCGGTCGGCTCGCACTCTCCCCTTGCCCCTCCTCCCCCGCTGTCCCCGATCCCCTCCTCCCCAGTCAGTTCGTTTTGGGGGGGACAACAGCAGCAACAGCACCAGCAGCAGCAGCAGAGGCCTGCTACCTCTGCTGGGTTTCGCATGCTTCCTCCCGCTCCCATTGCCACCCCACAGCACAGCCCAGACCAGTTCCGTATGCACAACCCTCCCGCTGGTTCTAACGCTCCAGGTACTGCTGCTGGTGGTGTTGGTGCGGGTGCTGGTGCTTACTCTGCTCCTACCTCCCCTACTGGACGCAACAGCAACGCCGCTGCCGGTCCCCCTCCTTCTCCTCACCCTCCTCCTGCCGCCCGCCATGCTCCCCCGCCCACTGTTCCAGGTCTTCCCGCCTGGTTAGACCTTCTTCCTGCCCCCCATCTGTCTGCCTGCCGTGTCTTTGTTAGTAGATGTCTCAGGGCTGTGCTCACAGGGTGTTTTGACAGAGCAGGGCCTTTGGCGATCCGTGGTGCTGCTGTTGCGATGAAAGCTGCTGCTGCTGCAGCGGCGGCAGCGGCAGCAGCGGGAGGGGCAGGGGCAGGTGCGGGGGGACAAGGAGGAGGGGTTGGAAAAGGAGGGAAGAAGGGGAAGAAGGAGCAGAAGAAGAAGACGAAGAAGGAGAGGAGGGGAAAGGGAGAGATGGGTGGGAAGGATGGAGGGAGGGGAGGGTCTGGTGGTACAATGGTTGGCATTTTTCACTTGAGTGCTGATGCTGGTGCTGCTGGTGATGCTGCTGCTGCTGGTGGTGATGATGATGCACGCGGGGATTCTAACGCTGAGCGCACAAGCAACCACATCAACAACGGTGGCAACGAGGAAGACGAGGAGGAGGACTCGACTGAAGAGACAGACAGTGAGGATGAGGAGAATGAAGAGGAGGAAGAGGATGAGGGAGAGGGGGATGAGGACAATGAGGAGGGCAGCAGCTGCGACGCCCTTCCGCCCATCTGGTCGCCCCCTCCGCTCTCCACTCTCGCCGAAACCACTCTCGCGGAGGGCATCGCACGCGCCAAGCACAGCAACCTAGCGGAGCGCTGCCAAGAAATCGACCGCCTATACTACTCCTTTGACCTCGGGCCAGGCCTCCTCGCCTCAAATATCTCTGCAGAAGCTCGGGAGTTGAGGCATCTGCACCCGGAGGATATACTCGCTTTGGCGGCGCATTTAACACGGATGAGCTTGCACGAGCCGGCGTTTCATCTGGGGTTGCGGGCGGTGTCGTCTGGGAGGCTTACCGTGGTGCAGTTTAAGCAGGTGCTAAGGATGGTGTTTGCGAGCGGGGGAACGGAGACGTTCAGCGCTCGATTCGCCCGCCTAGCCACGACGGTGAAAGCCGCGGCTCTCGCTCCGCCCGCTGCGGCTGCCGCGGCGACGGTTACCGCGGTAACCGCTGCAGTTGCGACAGCAGCAGGGGTGGACGTGGCGTTGCTACCGCAGCCGCCATCCCCCCCACCTGCTTCTGTCTACATCGGCATGTTTGCAGATGCGTTGCTGAGAGGGAAGGCGGCAAGGCGGCACCACCCGTGGGCGTATGAGGTCACTCTGAACTTCCTCCGGATGAATCTGAGAGCTGCTGCTGTGGGCGTGCGTGCGGGGCCGGGAGGTGCGGGAGGAGCAGGAGGAGCCGGAGCAGGAGGAGCCGGAGCAGGAGGAGGAGGAGGAGCAGGAGGGGGGGATGGAGGGGGAGGGAGAGCCGCTCTTGAGACGTTGGAACAGGAGCTGTTAGCCCAAGTGACGCTGAACAGATGGCTGGGACGTGGGCTGTCAAACGCACTATCCGGAGCGATGGTGCCTATAGAGCAAGGGGAGGAGAGGGCGATAGAGGTGATTGAGGAGATGGTTGCACCCCAGGCGGCGCTAGGGTGGGGTGTGTGGCTGCGAGTGGGGCGGCTGGTGGAAGGGGAGAGGAAGCGGCTGCCTGTGCTTCTGGAGTCAATGCAAGTCAAATCGGTCATGCACACGTATAAGGTGGGTTGTCTGCTGCTGCTGGGTCAAGGAAAGGAAAGGAGGGCGAGGAGATGGCGTGACAACCTACCCTCCCGTGGGATGGGATGTAAGCTTTTCAATCCAACTTCTTCCCTCCCGTTGCATTGCCTTGACTGCAACCAACCTACCCCTGTTTGACTGGTGTCCCTTCTCTTTGCTGTTGCCCTTCCTGCCCCCTCCCCTTTCCCCTCCTCCCCCCTTTCCCCATCCCCCTCTCCCTTCCCCCCACAGAGCATAGACGAGAACGGGGAGTCCTCAGACGCACTCTCCCTGGCGGTGTTTGACTGGGGCGCCAGGGGTCTGTGCAAGCACCTGCCAGCAGACGACCCGGCAGCGGCGCTGCTGGAAGTCATCTACCCCCTCGACGAGGAGCGCGTGTCGCTCGTGCTCTCGCTGTCGGCTCGCATTGCTGCCACGCACGCGCACGGGGGGAAGTGGCCGGGAGTGGACGCGCCTGTGCTGGTGGCGCAGCTGCTCACTCTCGCAGAGCAATGTGAGTAGGGTTGGCAGCAGTGGTGTGCTGTTAGTGGTGGGGGATGTGCAGTGGCACGGCAGGGTGGAAGGGGAAGTGGCCGGGAGTGGACGCGCCTGTGCTGGTGGCGCAGCTGCTGACGCTGGCCGAGCAATGTGAGTTGGTTGGCTGGTGGGAAGAGTGTCGCTCGTGCTCTTGTCTCTGCGCGCATCGCTGCCACGCACGCACGCAGATGGTGGTATGGTACGACGGGGAAGTGGCCGGGCATCGCTGCCACTTAGTACTTTTGGCTTGCTGCGGTTCGAATCCTTCCTACTCCGCAGATGGTGGTACGACGGGGAAGTGGCTGGGCATCGCTGCCACGCACGCACGCAGATGTCCCGTGCCTGTTCGCGAGATGCCTCATACCCCTCCTCCCCCCCCCCCCCCCCCCCCCACACTCCACCCCCCTTCCTGTCCTCCATGCACCACCAGCGCGCGCATGGACAGCCCGCAGTTGTCCCGTGCCGTGAACGTGGCGTCACCTTTTCCCCTCCCCACCCCCCGTGTTGACTTTTGAGTCGACTCAAAAGTCAGTCCCGTGCCGTGAACGTGGCGTCACCTTTTCCCCTCCCCACCCCCCGTGTTGACTTTTGAGTCGACTCAAAAGTCAGTCCCGTGCCGTGAACGTGGCGTCACCTTTTCCCCTCCCCACCCCCCGTGTTGACTTTTGAGTCGACTCAAAAGTCAGTCCCGTGCCGTGAACGTGGCGTCACCTTTTCCCCTCCCCACCCCCCGTGTTGACTTTTGAGTCGACTCAAAAGTCAGTCCCGTGCCGTGAACGTGGCGTCACCTTTTCCCCTCCCCACCCCCCGTGTTGACTTTTGAGTCGACTCAAAAGTCAGTCCCGTGCCGTGAACGTGGCGTCACCTTTTCCCCTCCCCACCCCCCGTGTTGACTTTTGAGTCGACTCAAAAGTCAGTCCCGTGCCGTGAACGTGGCGTCACCTTTTCCCCTCCCCACCGCCCCCACTCCCCCCCTTCCTTCGCCCCCTCTTCCTCACCACTGCTCCCTCCCCCTCCCGCCGTTTCCCGTCCACCAGGGCGCAAGGACAGCCGGCAGATGTCGCGTGCTGTGAACGTGCTGCTTTCCCCCCCTCACCACTCCCCCTCCTGCTCTGCCCTAACCCTGTCTCCCCATCCACCAGGGCGCATGGACAGCCGGCAGATGTCGCGTGCTGTGAACGTGGCGTCTCTGCTGTGGGGGTGGGCGCTGCCCAAGCGACAGCAGCTGCTGCAGCAGTGCGGGGTGAGTGAGACGCGTTGGGAGGGTGAGTGGCGATTTGAGGGAGTGGGGTGGGGGCGGTTTGTGGGGGGTGTGGCGATTACGGGGAGTGGGGGTAATACGGGGGTGTCTCTGCTGTGGGTCTGGGCGCTGCCTAAGAGGCAGCAGCTTCTGCAGCAATGCGGGGTGAGTCGAGATAGGGGATGAGAGAGGCAATTGGGGGAAGTGGGGGTAATACGCGGGCGTTGTTACTGTGGGGCTGGGCGCTGCCGAAGAGGCAGCAGCTGCTGCAGCAATGCGGGGTGAGAGGCGATGGGATGCGGGGAAGTGGGGCTAATGAAGGGTGAGAGGCAATGTTGTCATGGGGTTAATTCAGGATGAGAGGCGATTTGGGGTAGGAGACAGTATGGGGTGAGAGGCAATGTATTCATGCTGTAACGCTGTTCAGGTCATTGCATTCTTGTTTTGCGCAGTGCCTCTTTTCTCATCTCCCTGTTTTCTCATTCCCGCCTCCCACCCATCATGCATCCCCCATTTCACCTCTGTGTTGCTCCCTTTATCTCCCGCCAGTCTGCGGACGAGGCAAGGGAGGTCATGGAGCGCATTTCCTCCTCCATCTGGCCTGAATGTCTCTTTTCTCACTCCTTGCCTCCCATCACCCCGCTCCTCGCCCTGTTGTTGCCGCCCTCTCTTGCTATGCCAGTCTGCGGACGAGGCAAGGGAAGTCATGGAGCGCAGTGCCTCGTCCATCTGGCGCTCTGTTGCCGCCTCCAATGCTGCTGCCACAGGTACGTTATTGAGAAGTCTCAAAAGTGCTCATTGCTCGCAGTGCCACCGGTACGCACAGCTCACCAGCTCACCAGCCCCCTCCTCCCACACACTATTCCTTCCTCCTCCCCACCCCCCTTTGCCCCACACCTGTGCTGCCACCACACGTCCTTTCGTATCGCCATTACAAGTTTTGAGTCACCTCGAAATGAGACGATTTTTTTGGGCGCCTCGTACATGTGCTGTGCTGCTACACACGCCTTTGCTTATCGCCCTTACAACGTGTTGTCTTGTCTTCCCCTTTTTATCACAGGAGGATCCAGCCGTCAGTGAGGTTCCTTTTGACCTGCTCTGCAGCTGTTTTGAGAACTCCCTCCAAACAACACGGCCATGGTTTGCTCCAAACCATGGCGCTGCATAAAGTGGATTGAGTCGGCGATAAAGGGTTTCTTCTGAAGCAGGCTCCTACTCAAGCCGGTTTCTTGGGCGACTCAAAAAAGGGATCAAGCAGGCGATGCGGTTCCTTTCGGGGTTCCCTTTGAAGCTCCTTTTGAGCTTTCCCTTGGAGGCAGCGCAACGCAAAAGGTGGATCATGAAGGCAATGAGATTCATCCATCAGTCAGCAGCACACCCGTCAACACACTGCCCCGTATCAGGCACAGATGACTCGTACCTTCCACCGAACCTCCCTGCCGAACCTCTCCACCAAGCCGTCTTCCTCCACACCTGATGTCTCCACGCATCTACACCTCTCTCCATCCACCCGGCAAATCCACAGCCTCGCCACCATGCGAAGCACCCAGAGTAACCCAATACCCTGCCCACAACCGTCCGAAACACTCAGAGTAGATGGCGCTCCAGTCACCCGGCAACGGCAAATGGTTCCCACCACCATTTGTAACACTCAGATCGGGCACCAGGTACCATTCAGTGTCTGCTCAAGCCTCTTCATCCTCCTCTCCAGGTTCCCTCGGCACTCTAATATCCTCTGCTTTGCACCCTCCTCCTCCTCCTCCTCCTCCTCCTCCTCCTCCTCCTCCTCCTCCTCCTCCTCCTCCTCCTCCTCCTCCTCCTCCTCCTCCTCCTCCCCAAGAGACCTCTCCAGCACTCATCCATGTATATTTTTTTGCCTCACAGCCGACCTCTCCCACCCGTCCTCTCCTCTCCTCATCTGAAGTTCTTACAAGCGGATCCGTTTGCAGATGCACTGTATCGAGGCGCCTTTGCTTCGTGCTGACGTCACCTCCGCTCCCTGCTGACGTCACCTCCTCTCCCTGCTGACGTCACCTTCTCTCCCTGCTGACTTTTTTTGCTGACATCACCATCCGCCTGTGCTGACGTCTCACCCTCTCCGTTGCACCCACAGTCCCGCACATTGAGTGCTCAACTAACCCGACTGCTCATATACTCGACTGTCCTACAGTAACCTTCCTGACCGTTTGAAGGAGAGGGGTGGGTGGGAAGAGGAAAAGAGGGAGGCGGAGGAGGGAGGGAGGGGGAAAAGAGCTGCTGGTGGTAGATAGGCAGTAGCTGACTGCGGTTAGGATAATTTAGGTGCAATGCAAGAAGCAGCAGAAGGGTGGTTTAATGATTCGCCTAAAAGGCCGATAATGGGGCCAGCAAACGGCAGCGGCATCAGCAGTGGGAGCGGGAGCAGGAGAGGGAGAGGTTCAACTTGAACGATAGGAATGAGAGCCTTCAGCAGCAGCCTCCACCTTTACCGGTACACATTCTGACTCTTGAGTCGACTCAAAAGTCATCTTTTGAGTCGGCTAAAAAATGAGAGCCTTGAGCAGCAGCCTTCACCCTTACCAGTACACGTTCTCTTCATCTCCGTCCGATCACCGGCTCAACAATGTTACTAGAAGGGTCCTGTTCCTTCCCCCCAAGTGCCCAAGTTTCAGCTGCCAGCTATGTACCTAGTACTAAGCCTCGTCACGCGAGTCAACCCTCTAGAGCTGCTACAACACCCCGCCCACCCAGCTCCCAGTTTTGACCCGGTTGACTCGATTTAACTTTTCTTCTAACCAGGAAGACTGACTGACAACCTGAGAGGGCATACAGCTAGAGAGCCTCTTTCATTCCTGGAGCTGACGTACTACTGTAGTTTCTCCATCGCACTTTTGTCGATATGCTTTGTGCGATTGCACTATTTCGCCTTTTAGGAAGTTGTGATGTGATGCCGCTTTAGATGTGCAACTAAATGCGTTGCCTCGTATGTGTGAGCATTCGGATAGTGGTGTAACGATATAACTCTTATGCTGATGCTGTAATGTTAAAACCGGTACCGTATATGATGCTGCCATGTACCACGATTTAGCAGAATTATGCCATTCTCTTATAGTACTTGTTTCTTTCATTCAGTGCCATTCACCCATTTAGTCGATATAGCGCGACAACCATAAGGGAAAGTGTTTTTCCGAGACTTCCGCATCAGATTCTGACCCGACTCCTTAGAAGCCGACGCTTGATTGTTTGGGAAACATCCGAAAATGGTTTGCTCAGCTACATCGTATCCCTCGCAATCAGCTTTACGAACGAAATGTATTGTCCAGGTCCTCCCCACAGATTGTGCTGGAAAATGACCCGTGTGCTCTTGCCTACAAGGGGAAACCTGCCTTGGTTAATTGCGAAGGAATCATTCACATGAAGGCATGGACGGACATCAGCGACTCGCCATCTAGACTACACTTTTTTTTATGAGACAAGCAAATTGTGCACTCATGAATTGTGATTCATTGCTCTTTGAGACTCCTGCCACGATGTATGTTAATCCGCCACGCATCAACCGGTCTCTATTCTGCTCCCTCCTCCCCTCATTCCACTTCCCCTCCCTCTCCACTCTACCTTCCCCTCCCCCCTCTCCCGTCTTCCCTCTCCACTTCCCCCTCTAACCTCTCTCCTCTCTCTTCAACCCCCTCCCCTCTCTCCCGTCCCTTACGCCCCTCCCCCCTAGCCCCCCTTTCTTCAATCTAAAACTGCATCCCACTCGTGTCCCGCTTAACCTCAAACCCGACCGGATTCTCCAGCGCCAAAACTTTCGTGCTGCCCCAGGACTCCTGCTTCACGGGCAGCGCCAAAATTTTCGCAACAGGGCCATCCAAATCCTCATCGGGCACCCGCCCGAAAACTGTGTGAGCATGGCCCCATTCAGTGTGATCCGCGAGGGAAATAAAGAAGTCTGGACCCTCCCCTACGAGACACACGTCTCCTCTTTTGACGATGGGCGCTGATTCGCGGGGGATGGGTTTGAAGGGTAGGCCGTCTGTTAGGAGGATGCCCTGCAGGAGAGCGTAGGGGGGACCAGGAGGCTGGGGAGGGGAAGGGGAGCAGGAAGGGGAAGGGGAAGGGGAGGGGGAATGGGAAAGGGAAGGCAAGTTGTGAAACGTTTTCATTCTCAACGATCCTCATCCGGCACTCGTCCGAGGACTGTGTGTGTGTGCGTGGCCCCACTCGGTGTGATCCGCGAGGGAAATAAAGAAGTCTGGACCCTCCCCTACGAGATACACGTCTCCTCTTTTGACGATGGGGGCTGATTCCCTAGGGATGGGCTTGAAGGGTAGGCCGTCTGTTAGGAGGATACCCTGCAGGAGAGCGTAGGGGGGACCGGGAGGCTGGGGAGGGGGAGGCGGAGCAAGGGAAGGGGAAGAAACCGGAGAAAGGGAAAGGGAATTTCTGAGACGTCTGAATTCCCTAGGAATGGGCTTGGAGGGTAAGCCGTCTGTTAAGAGGATATCCTGAAGGAGAGCGTAGGGGGGACCAGGGGGCTGGGGAAGGGGTGATAGGGGGCCGGGGGAGGGGAGGGCGGGCATGGTGAAGCGCGAAAGGGGAACGGGAAGGATGGATGGGGAGGGAGAGGAAAATGACGGGAGATGACATGCGATGGGGGATGGAAAAGGGACAGGGAAAGGCGAAGGGAGGGGAACGGAGCGAGGAAAGGTGGAAACAGAAGGAGACAAATGGAGGCGGAACCAGCAAGTGAGGCACAGAATGGGGGAAACTGTAATCAGTCTGTTTTTGAGCCGACTCAAAAACAGAAACAGAAGGAGTCAAACGGAGATGGAGATGGAACCAGCAAGTGAGGCACAAAATGGGGGGGACGGTGAAAGGAGGAAGCAAGAAAAAGGGCGAGCGGGAGAAGATCAGAGAGAGGGACAGACAAGTCTCCCCTTTCCCAAGCGACGAATATTTGCGGAAAATCAAAGAAGAGAAAGGGATGAGAAGTGGTATGGAAAGACACAAGACATGTGGGAGGGTGGGGTGTGGTGTGCTGACCTTGCTTGTCCTGCTGCCGTCCTTGCTCCACCCCTCCCCCAGCCCCTCTGCGCGGTACAGCTGGCAGCCGGTGCAGTACTTGAGGTGCAGCAGCTCCCGTATGTACCCCACTGTCTTGGGCGCCCACGAGGGCAGCAGCTGGGGTGGAGGGGGAGGAGGGGGGGAACGGGAAAGCAGATGCGGGTAAAGCGACAGGAGAGTAAGGGCCGAAGGAGCAGTTTATAGATGGAGCTACCCCCGAATGTACCCCACTGTCTTGGGCGCCCACGAGGGCAGCAGCTAGACGGGGGAAGCGATGGGAGAGATGGGAGAATGAGGGGGACGAGAGAGTGTTTGAGTTGAGTGGTGCAGCCAGTGCAGTACTTGAGGTGCAGCAGCTCTCGAATGTACCCCACTGTCTTGGGCGCCCACGAGGGCAGCAGCTGGGGTAGAGGTGGGGGATGGGAGAGATGGGAGAGACATGGAGACGGGGAAGGAGAAAGAATGGAAGAGATGATGAGCTGGATAAGAGAGGAAGGAGGATGGGACCTGTGAGGTTGGAGGAGGGTAGGAGGAGGAGAAGACAGGAAACGGACGAACGAAGCGGGGAAAATTGCAGGCAAAGGCAACTGACAACAGATGGACGGACGGGCGGACGGACGGACGGACAGACAGAAAGACAGAGAGATGGACTCATAATGCAGATGGAAGAACAGATGCAGGAACGGAGGAGTAAGACGCAATGCAATACTGGAGTCAGTTTTGAGGATTCTCAGGAGCAGCTTGGTTGCAACTTGCAAGCCTGGTGAGACGAGTCGGTTCCTTGATGCGAGTGTGAATCACCCCATGCTCCGAGTGGAGGCACTTGTGAGGGTCATTCACTTGTGAGGGTCATTCACTTGTGAGAGTTCTCAAAACGGACGAGTGCATGCACGCATGGCATGGCAGCTTGGTGCCAACCAAAACAGGCAAAGGAGGCGAGTGTTGGTACCTTGATGCGGATCACCCCGTGTTCCGTGTGCAACGCTATGATGCCCTGCCATGAGAGCAACCATGCACGTAGGGAGAAAGAGAGAAAGAGGAGACAGTTTTTGGGGCGCATAAAAAAAGCGGCCTTTCATGCGAACGACTCTGTTCTCTGTGTGCAACGCTATGATGCCCTGCCATGAGAGCAATCATGCATGTAGGGAGAAAGAGAGAGAGGAGTCGGCTTTAGGGGCGCTTTAAGAATCGCCTTTGATGCGAACGACATCGTGTTCCGTGTGCAGTGCTATGATGCCCTGCCATGCCAGAGGGAGAGGGAGAAGGAGAGGGAGAGGGAGAGGAAAAGAAGGTCACTCAGGGGGGGGGAGGGTCAGAGGGATGGGTTAATGGGTCAGAGGGTCTAAGGGAATCACGAGTCAAACCGCATGTCTGTACCCCCTGCTGAATTAATACAAAGGACCATTTGAGAGGAAAAGAGCGGGGAGAGGGTTG